AAGAAAAGGCGTGTCGTCCATTTCCTCGGTAGCGTATGTAGTGCATATTTTTAACTTCTTCTGGCGAGGCGACATCTATCTCTAAAGTTCTTCCAATTGCATGTCTTTGATATGATACCTACGACGAGGTTGATATCTAGACTAGGTTAGCCATAAATACCTTTGCTATATTTATAGTATGGTGGTCTGGACATACAACATTGCAAGTTGATAAAAGCGTTGTAAAAAATAGATAAAATAGTGAAAACTAAATCGATAAAAATCTATCTATAATAATCTTTGGTATCGTCTTCGCTAAAATTACCCTAAGGTTAATTTTTTAAGCTATTTATGAAATATACTCTAATAATAAATACTTTTCAGGAGAAAACAAGGCCCTCCAAAACCACTACCGGTGGAAGGTAGTTCCGGAGAAAGGTCATTATTTTTTTGACATACCTACATACTAGAAAAAAGTTTTACATTAGTAATAAATATATGCACGTATGTGTGAAAGTATTACATATATGTTTTATAGACTAATAAAAGACTTTACAAATTTAAATATTTTATTACATACATATGTACATAATAGGGCGGGGAAACTTTTATACCCGAGTGCACATGTGCACAAGAGTATTATAATTTTGTTCACATAAGGGTTGTTTGTAACAGCCAAAACGAATCGAGATAGATATACAAAAAAGTATACATAAATGCTAGTTCACGAAAGTCTGCAATTTACTTGAGACATCTAGTTGGGACAAATGTATATTTGTTAATAATTACAAAACGATTACCTTGAGTGGACAATATTGTTAGTTGAATAAAATCGTTGTTGAGCAGGTATAAACAATGCTTCGTTTGATACAAGTTTTCAATTAATTTTGTGAACTTGCTGTAGACTTGAATCAGCTAACCGTTTATTATTAGAAAAAAAGTTTCAGTTTGACACAAATAAAAATTTACTCGATTGTTGTTGTGTTTCCTTTCTTCTTTTGTTTGCATATATTAAGCATAAAAAACACATACATATTTACATAAATAGTTGCTACTTAGTGTAAATAATACATATGTATATGGTGGTATGGTCGGCCGCTGTGGTGTAGTGGTAAGCAGTGCGCGCATCCACTCCACAATGCCTGGGTTCAAGCCCTAGTCAAAGCAACATCAAAAAAATATAGAAAACGGTTTTTTTCTTAACAGCGGTCGTCCCTCGGCAGGCAATGGCAAACCTCCGAGTGCATTTCTGCCATGAAAAACAGCTTCTCATAAAAATATATCCGCCGTTCGGAGTCGGCGTAAAACTATAGGTCCCTCCGCTTTGTGTGACAACATCAAGGCGCACGCCACAAATCGGAGGAGAAGCTCGGCCAAACACTAACATATGTGTAAGCGCCAATCTATTATATTATTATATGGTGGTAAGAATTTCCTAAAAAGAAACGATGAAACAGGAACAGTCGTGCAAAAACCCAGGTCAATATCTGCTGGAAGTGCTGGTTTAAGTATACTGCTTTGCTTTTTCCTTGGCTAAATAGATACTTTCAAATTATAATTCGCATGAATAATATATCCACTGAGAAATCCCGTTTGGCATCAAACTTTATATTTTTAAATAACTATGCACGCACCGAAACAACTCGCGGCGATGGCAAAACTGAAACTGAGACAAACAAGTCTGGGCATGTCATAGCACACATTTTTCTTTCTCTACCTAGCGCAGTGATCGACATGCCATAGCATACTGAGCGCTCTGTGACCACACGCGTGTTTCACCCATACACGAACAGCGGTAGCGGAGCAATGATTTCCACGCACACAGTCTCATTCATTGAATCGTCCCTGCAGTAAATCGCGCTAGTTCAAGACTAGCGCAGAACTAGCCCTTTAAGAGGCGGTACTGGTTCTCAATCTATCCCAACGCAATGCTTTCAACTGTCTCTTTTCACATCGCGATGTCCTACCCCTGCAAAAATCGTTGGACCATGTAGTCTATTTGTGGTAAATTGGAGTACTTACAAAAGTGTTCCTCTGTCATCCTGTATCGGACCAACTCGTGTCTCTGCGCCAGCTTATTGTTTGTTATCCGATCACTGCTCGTGTTTTAACGAAATGTCATTGAAGTTGAGCGTTTGAAAGAACATTTGCATGTCTGGCTGTAGCTGAACGTGTAGAGATGCTCGCTGTTAGTTCTTAGCTCCCAGCATGTTCGGGTTCGAATTCCATCAGAGGCAACATGTAATTTTTAATTTTTGGCTTGGTTTTTATTAATTTCGAAAAAGCAATTGAGAAGTGAAGAACAAAAGCGTGTACAAACGAAAAAATATAACAACAATGCCACTGTTAATATGTTGGAGTAGTTTTGTGCTACTCTGATGTAATGCAGGGATGGAGTATATGGTCCTGTCCTAGGACTTCGCAATGTTAATAGGACCATATTTTTTTATGAATTGTGGTTAATTTTGGAGTACTCCTTGATCCTTAGGGAGTACTCTTTACACGCATGCATGGAGTAGTCGCGATTTTTGCAGGGACGAANGGTTCTCGATCTATCCCAACGCAATGCTTTCAACTGTCTCTTTTTACATGGCGATGTCCTACGAAGTGGAAATTGCCCCCCTCTGCAGAACTTTTGAACTAGTTCTGCACTGGTTCGATTTTGGACACATCTGCGACAATAAGTTTTTTATTTAAAAAAATTCTGATTATTAGATTTTTTATATTTTTCGTTTTTTCTGTTCTTGCATTGCATTCTATTAAATTTTTATATATTTTTTTTATTTTGTTTATATTAAATTTGATCACTTTCTCTTAAATTTTTAAGCGGCACTCATTAATTTAAATTTCTTAAATCTGAAAATCACAACTGCCTCCACCGCGATTTGAACTCGTGACCAACGATGTTAGAGTCGGAGGTCTTCCCGCTGAGCTATTTTCGTATTGTACGAGAAGTGAGAATTTGTGCATTTACTTCTCAACAGAGCGCAACTAACACACCGAAAGTTTTAACTGTCCCTCTCTGCAGCCGTTTTGCACTAGATCAGAGATGGTTCTGAAATGTGTAGGGCGGAACTAGCGCTTTAAGAGACTGTCTCTAAATTTTACTGCAGGGGTTTTTATGCAATGGTCGGCATACTAGCGAATTCAAACGATTCAATAAGTGGGACTGTGTGCATTGCTCAGCTGGCGCTCTTCGTATGTGAAACACACATGTGCTCAGAGAGCGCTCAGCATCATTTAGGGGTGGCTCACAAGCAGCGTTGCCAGGTTGACGTTTTTAACGTCATTTGGACGTTTTTTGTACCCTGTTGACGTTTGGACGTTTTTTGTGTAAAAAATTACGTTTTTTAACCTCCCGTAATTTTTCCTTGTTACTAAATCTTATAAGTAGATCTGATTTTGAATCATTTTCTTAATAAATCTTTATAATCTTTGTGTTTTGCTGCAGCTGCTTCAAAAGATTTTTTTTGGATTCTTGGACTAAGGATCCCGTATTCATAGGCTGGTTGTGTAAACACTTGAGGCTACGACGCTTGCTGTAATGTTTGCAATTGCACATTAAAAGCCAATTCACGAAGAGCCGATATATTGCAGCAGGCACGCTCGCAAAAGCATCAAAAAAGCTGTGCAGCATAAAACGTAAGAAAAAAGTAAGCGACTTTTTGAAGACTTCATTTAAAATGTTATAATTAATAACATATTAACATAATATTAAAGTCATAAAGAAAGTTGTAACTAATCGAGTAAAGTGTAAAGTGAAGGGGAATATAAAAATATATTGGTGAAGTGGCTGCTTTAAATGTACGCTAATTTACGAATTTTACAAAAAAGGGAATTTTTCAAACCCAATTTGTAAATAAATTAGTGATCAAAAATTACAAAAGTGGGTGTTAAAATAATGTGTAGACCCTTGACTAGAAGTGTGTGCATGTCGCGTAGCTCCGCTGCAGCGTAGTGCGGTATGCTCCATAAGAATACATGCAAACGCTGCGCGGCAAAGTTGACCAACTAGGAAAAAATGTCGCGTCGTGTGGTGTCGCGCAGTTCCGGTGCCGCATAGTGCAGTATTCCTAGCGGAACGACATAACATTTCGTACTATATTTTTAACTTGAAGTAATTGGATTTCCAATTTTGAGTGAATATTCACATGCATATCATTCAAGAAGAAAATTGTATGCAAAGAAACATAATATTTGAGAATTCACCAAGGAAAATAAAAATAAAAGGCATTAACATTACATCAGCGTCTTCAGGCGACTTTTTGAAGACTTCATTGAAAATGTAATGAACACAAAAAATACTGAAATATTAGGTCCATTCAATAACTTTTCCAGTAAGTACTTGCAGCGAGAGCGTAAAAGAAAAATAGAGAGTAAAATTGAGAGCAAGAGAAATTTTTCAGAAAAGGTTATTGAACGCAAAATAGTAAAAGCTTGCAACTTAAGCCATTTTGACACTTTCTGACGGTTAAGTTTTGGCGCGCAATTTTCTGTTTAATTGGGAATAGTTGCCATCGTCATAAAAATAAAAAAATATACAATAGATTTAATTTGATTTCACTAATTATGTTTCATCAAATCTTCCTCTTAAACAGTTTGTTTACATTTGAATTTGAAACATAACCTTACTTTTTGACTCCTGCAAATTCCTGCTAGTAAAATTTTTACTTGCAAGAATTTGCAGCTCTCTCGGGTTGTTACGCTCTCGAATTCGCTCCCTCTTGCAAATATTTTGGGTTATTGAATGTGTTGGCATCCCGCAAATAAGTAGCAAAATGTGTATTGAGAGTGCAACCCTGCACTCGGTGAGATGTGAGAGAGTGGCTTGCAACCCGGACACTGAAGTGACGACAGCGATAAACCTGTGCCTGCTTAACCTTAATTATTTTCTAATTTCATAATTGTAATTTGTTTCCTTTAACTTTCAAATAAACTTTTATAAATTGCAACTCAACAACGTTTGAGTTGTAACAGTGGCGACGAGGATTTTGGAACCTGTTTTTGCATAAGTCGCCATAATGGACGCAAACGATGTCCGTAACTTATTTTCACAGATGCAGGAACAACATGAACGTGACAACCAGGCTATGCAGAATCTAGTGAAACAACTTCTTTCTAGCCAACTTCAACCGAGCGCTTCTTCAATGAAGGAAGATAAAGGTGCAGAGTTCACCATTGAAGCACTTGCATCTAGCATAAGCGAGTTCTGCCACGACATGTGGTTCACGCGATATGAAGATCTCTTCGAAGTCGACGCTGCGAAATTAGACGACGCAGCCAAAGCCAGGCTTCTATTTCGTAAACTCAATACTGTCGTTCACAGCAAGTACATAAATTTTATTTTGCCAAAGCACCCTCGGGATTTCACCTTCGCCGAAACAGTAGAAAAGCTCAAGCAAATTTTCGGGCTCCAAACGTCACTATTCAACATCAGGTACAATTGCTTGCAGCTTGCCAAGGAGCCAATGTCAGACCTCATCACTTACGCAGGCATGGCGAACAGGCATTGTGAAAATTTCAAGCTGAATAGCCTCAGGCTTGATCAGTTCAAGTGTTTGATTTTTATAATGGGGCTGAAGTCCCAATCGGATTTCGACATCAGAACAAAGTTGCTAAGCAAGCTAGACACCGAAGCTGATACACTCACACTTGATGCTTTGTCAAAAGAGTGTCAACGTCTAATAAACTTAAAAGCTGATACAAATCTTGTTGAAAATCTGAAGGGCGAAGTCCAGGTAAGGCGCTTGCATTCAAGTAATGCAAAGAAAAAATCATTGCCTAAAACTCCGTGCTGGTTTTGCGGCGCCATGCATTACTCTCGCGAATGCACATACAGCAAGCATAAATGTGAGCAATGCAATACAGTTGGTCACAAAGAGGGCTACTGCTATTCGAAGAAAAATGGGCAAAACTCAAAGCAGAAGCGCAACAACAAAGGCAAAGGGTCCCACTTGCAGTCGAAAAGTATTTTCGTCTCCAATAAAATCGAATCAGCTCAACGCAAATACGTCAGCGTTCTAATCAATGGCACGAAATTGGATTTGCAGTTTGACACTGCATCGGACATAACAATAATATCGGAAAGTAATTTCCAGAAGCTAAATGTGTCAAACACATCCGCAGTCGAGCAATCAGCTCGTAGCGCAACAGGCGCCACACTGCCTCTGTCATTGCAGTTTGATTGCAACGTCGAACTCAAACAGCAGCGAGCAGAGCTAACATGTTTCGTCACACCAATCAAAAATCTGAATGTATTGGGCCTCGACTGGATTACAGCTTTCAACCTCGACAACATGTCTATCAATGCCATTTGCAATATGTTGGCAAGTTTTGAACTACGCAGCGCCAGTGTGGTCGCCAGGGACTAGTAGGAAGCAGTGGACGAAGCTACAGACTGTACAAAACACCGCACTCAGGACAGCGACGGGATGCCTCTTGATGTCGCCTGAACACCACCTGCACGGCGAGGCGCAAATGCTCCCGGTAAAGGAGCATAATATAATGCCCTGCAAGCAGTTCCTGATCGGGAGCCACAGAAGTGGTTCATTAAGCAACCTCTGGACCCGACAGCTTACAGACAGGCGGCCCTGAACGGCATTCACAGGGACTCAGTCTCGAGTTATGTAGACTCTAGACCTGTGAATGCCGTTCTAGGCACACCACCCCCGGACATAGACGAGACGGAGCTTCATCTGCCTCGGGAGACACGCACTACACTCGCACAACTTCGCTCCGGCTACTACAGCAGGTTAAACTCCTACTTGAGTAGGTTGAATGAGGATGTGCCGAACGAATGTCCGGCATGCGGAGAGACCCCACATGACTCGAAACATCTCTTCGCCTGCCCGGAAAACCCGACAACCCTAACGGCCTGTCCCTATGGGCAAACCCCGCAGAAGCTGCACGCTTCCTAGGGTTGCCGTTAGTGGAACTTGACGACAACGACTGAGATACCAACCGATCTGGGCGGGGTTGTTGTAGCCGCTACAACAACAACAACAACATGGGCTGTGCAGTTGTTGGCATACGATTTTGAAATCAGCTTTATCTCTACGAGTAGCTTCGGCTATGCCGACGTGCTCTCCCGGCTTATCAACAAGAGCAGCAAATCATCCGAAGATTACATCATTCCATCAGTGAAGTTTGAAGGTGAAATCAAACAAATTTTGTCAGACACGATAGACAAATTGCCAGTTACGCACAGGATGATCAAGTACGAATCAGGTAAAGACAAAATTCTTAAACATATATTTGATTACGTGGAAACCGGCTGGCCAGCATCAAATAACGGTAACGTCGAATTACAAGCATTTTTAAATCGGAAAAACGAGATAAGCATAATCGATGGCTGTATCATCTGGGGTCAGCGCGTAGTGGTACCACAAGTACTGCGCAAACGAGTTCTCAAACAACTACATCGTGGTCATCCAGGTATCGAGCGCACCAAAGCAATCGCTAGGAGCTTTGTTTACTGGCCACATATAGATTCCGATATCGAAACATTAGTACGAAATTGTAACAATTGCGCCTCAGCAGCAAAAATGCCTACAAAATCAACGTTGCA